GCACTGACACATTGTAGTAGTATTTTATGGTTATTATTCATTTTCCTCTCATAAAATGATTGAAACTCTTACCAATCTAGGAACAGTACTCATTTCATTCTCAGTAATGGGATGTAATACAACTTTTGAGACTGTTATTTTGTCACTAGTCATGTTTTGTGGAACTTTGGGCCAGTTCTTTTGAGCTGCAGCTTATGCATAAGCTCCTGTGAAAATAAGCCTCAGATAAGCTCTTGTGGAAATAAGCCCATGAGAATAAGCCAACGAGTTCTTTTTAGTTCATGTCCCTCCAGCTTAATTTTGATATACCTAGTGAAAAGTCTGTAATACCCCTGGACTGTATTTTTCTGATATTCAGTTGTGCTTTAGCGTTTTGTCGCCCATATGAACATAAAATTGTTTTTTCAAACATCATGAAATGTTAGTCGAAGATCGTTTTGTCACATACAAGGTGGATCATTTTCTCACATGCAAACATCATTGTCTCGCATAGAGAGCGGCGTAACAAAAAAAAAGGACAGCTCCATGTAGAAAAGTTGTGCTGCTGTGGAAGCTCATCAACACGAAACTATAACATTCATATATAATTAGCTTAATTGGGGAGTGCTTGTTACCGACACTCATCGACACCGACTGACGCTGAAGAAACTGAACAAAACACTAGTTCAACAGGGATAAGATGAACAGGGGGTGAGTACAAAAGCTCAATCTGCATCTGGTGGACTCCTAACGATAACACACGCTCCCAGATCCTACACACACTTGGTCTACTGGGTGTTCGCACCCAGGTACATTAGCAACACAATACCAAGAACTAGTATTGTGGCCATCAGGTTGGTGCACGCTATCAGTAGACTAGCAGCAGCCATGACTTGAGATGATCGGCCCAGAACGTGATCTGCGTGCAGATCTGCTGGCTTGTGCGCGACAAGCCTGCTGTTTGACGCGTGGTGCTGAGCGGCATTGCGGGCTGTAGCCCTTGCGATCTGGACAGCGTTGGGAGGACTGCCGGCTCTGGGAATCTTGATCGGCGTCCCCTGACGAGAGGACGAGCGACTGCGGACTGCTGGACAGAGGGGTGGCGTGGTGGGGCAGAGCAGAGGGAGGCGGGGGAGGAACGCGTCTACCCAGCACCAACAGGATCGATGTCGTCGTCGGCTCGTCGACGGAGTAGGGCGGCGTCGGGAGGCGTGGGCGGCGGTGACGGGGAAACCCTATTTCACAGGAGGAGGGGCGAGAGGATCGTTTGGGTTGATACGTGGGGGATAAGGTGGCATTTCCTTTGTAATTGTGTGCAAGCGGGAGAGCAAGGGGATATACCGGTTTGTTTTTAAGTGACCGCTCACGGGAAGCCGACCACCCTTCAGGTTTTTTCCATTGTGAAGGAGAGGGCTGTGGAAATAAATTAAGCTCTATGCCCCAAAGCGAGCTATTTTGAGTTTTTGCCTTAAGACAATAAGCTGCTAAAAGCCACAAAAGAACTGGCCCTGTATTGTGGGTAAACAGTACTGGTTTCATTCTCTGTAATGGGATACAATACAACTTCTGAGACTGTTTGTTACTATTGTGATGTCTTACAAAACTCTCTTTATTCTTGTTTGTTCTCTTTCCTTGCATGCTGGAGTTGATTATTTAAGGGCTATTTATATGGTCGAATGTTAAACTCTAGAAATTAGTTTGTAGCAAACCATAGCTTGCGCGTTCTTGAAATCTGCAACCTTCATTATCTCGAGGTTCATTTTTTAAGCTGTCCATACTGAGCAAATGATCTCTCATGTTGCAGCTCGTTTGTCAGGAAGTGAGTTAGAAGCTGTCAAGGAGCTAGATGTTGCTCCTTCGTCAGAAGATGGTCCAATAGCATGTACTGTGAATCGTACAAAACGCTGGCTCCTTTCTCATTCACAGCATCTCAACTTCTTCACTATCTTGATACTTGCTTCGGTTAGTCTTTGTCCTGTCTGAATCTTTGAGTAATGATTTCTTACGCAAAAAAGTAGTTGCAGAATTTTGCTTTGGCAGTATATTGCTCATGCAGCTCTTGCAGGCTTTGGCCCTAATTTTCTATTTGGTGCCAAAATATGCTAATTGGACATTTACACGTGTAACTAGTTCCAAGCATGGATATATAGTGCATCATGTAACTTATTTTTTTTGTGTTTACTAGGTTCCAAACCCGCTGTTTGACCTTGCTGGTATTATGTGTGGTCAATTTGGTATACCCTTCTGGGAGTTTTTCTTTGCAACTTTGATCGGGAAGGCCATCATCAAAACTCATATTCAGGTTTGTGGTATATACATTTTACTGAAAAATCCTGGCATTAATTTGTGTTTCTCTTGGTACCACATGTTTATTTTTTCTCTTGGTCTGCTGGTGATTTGGTATACCGGTCTGCTTTCAGATCCTATGAGATAATCATGTATTAACTTCATCATTTTAATATATATTTTTAGGCATACTTTATGTGATCATGTCTTTTCGGTTCTGTCCAGTTAGAACCAAAATATTGAAATCTTACAAGCTACCCCTACCCCTACAACCCATGCAAAATTGTAGTTGTGACCTACATGGCTACATTGATTATTCTGCGTGATCTCTGCAGAATATGGTGTGAATTGTATCAGAGATTTCACTCAAATACTATCTTTACTGTGATCAAATAATAATGCCATTAATGCTTGCATCAAAAGTACATGATGTACCTGCCATACCAATTGCTGTTTCTTTTTAAATTTTGATTTTTATTGTTACCTTGTTTTTTCTTTCCTCACAACAGAACAAACAAACTATGAGTGATACAATTTTGCTTCTTTTTGTGCTCCTTTTCTTCCTGAATATCAAACAAACTTAGTTTTCCAACTATCAATTTCGTACTATGTTCAACTGAGTTTCTTATCATTTTGGTTTATTGTCAGTTTGACACCTTATTTATCTGGTTGGATTGAAATGAATATTTGCAGTCTCTCTGTACTGACACATGAATTGTACCTTCTCACTTCTGCAGACACTGTTTATCATCTCGTTGTGCAACAACCAACTCTTGTATTTTATGGAGAAGGAGTTGATCTGGATATTTGAGCACATTCCTGGGTTTTCAGCGACCCTGCCATCTGTAATTGCCAAACTCCACAGTGCTAAGGAGAAGTATTTATCACCACCTGTGTCAGTCTCACATTCACAAATGGAGGTCGGTATCTTCATTTTCATGTCATTTGATTTTTAGTTTTTTCTTACCTGTTCATTGATGTTCTGTAACTGTCATTTGTACAGGATAAACAGTGGAATTTCTCTTTTGCGTTGGTCTGGAACACTGTAGTGTGGCTTGTGCTTGTGAACTTCTTCATTAAGATCGTCACATCAACAGCTCAGGATTATCGCAAAAGGCAGCAGGACATAGAGATGGAGCTCATTACTGATTCCTCGCCCCAGAATCATTCGAAAACTAACTAACAGCAAACATGGTTGTATTTATTCAGCTGCACATTGCGAATATTCTCCTTAGTAGCCTCTGCGCCTGGCTAAGCCCTTGCGGATGATCCCAATGCTGGTAGAAGTCCCGATGCTGGTAGAAGTTGTGTTCTTCTGTACAGTGAACAGAAACATGGGCCTCTCCAACCCGCCACAAGTGATGGCTGCGACTTTTTGTCAATGCGCCTCTACTGGCAGTTCCTGGAGGAGAATCAGTCCTGTTATTTCAGGCGCCAAGTTGGATGAACTTTAGGGATTGTTTGTTTAGCACGATTTCATTACTAAGATGTATTTTACCAGTACCTTTTTTTACCTTCTTATGTTGGAAATACGGTAGCTGATAGGGCACCGAGAGTACTCAAAGGTGAAATGTTTTATTGTTACATTCAAAATGCAAATGCATGTTCACAATTGGAGCCAGCTAGATTTAATGGAGCACTTCGATTACAATTTTACTCTCGCAAATAAAGCTGCTGTTTTATTTATCAAGACTCGCAGCTGCGTTTCTACGTCACGTCGTTGTAAAACTGTGTTTCTACGTCACGTCGTTGTAAAACTGTGTCATACAATTGGTTTTACCTTGTGACTAGGTCAGGTTCAGAGATGTGTGATTCTCGTCAATCACGTCAAGCTCTTTGGCATGTAGCTTGTGATTTTCAGCAAGCGGGCGCATCTGAAGCTCAGTGAGGTGAAAATGTGAGGTGCGATTACACATCAGCAGCTAAACAGTGCTGTAACCTAGTGCCTTCGAAACCTTTTCCTTTTTTTAGTTACTCCCTCCGTTTTAAAATAGATGACCCAACTTTATACTAAAGTTAGTACGAAGTTGGGTTATCTATTTTGGAACGTAACTTCGAAACCTTTTCAATTAACTAGTGTCGTCAATGCAAATTGGGGTCGTGAGAGCAGTTGTCCGTTTAATCTTGGGCGTGCTCGGTAAGTCGAATCTAGCGCCCTGCACCACAGAAGTTAGAGCACAGGCAGGGTAAATTTCTTGGACATACGGCAGCAGGAGACTCCAAGCTGAGACAAAAGCCAGACTACTCGCACGGCACGATGAATTGTCATGCCTACATACGTTTCTTCCAAATTTGTTGTTACATGCCTACACGACCCGGCTGGCGACCGCCGAGCGCCGAGGAGAACTCAGAACCGGGGAGGGACCGCCTCGCCGTCGCGAGCACGTCATTCGCCGGTAGGGAAAAGGCGTTCGTCATCTAGCACCATCGCAACCCCGCAACAGACGGAGACGTCTCCCATCCGGCCATCCCATCAAAGTGAAGTTCACCTCGGTTCAGACTTGAGACTCCTCCCGGCTCCCGCAGCCGCAAGCGAAGCCGAAGGCCGAGGCCACCCACCCCCCTGCCCTGCCCTGCCCTCCATATATTAACGGGACGGCGGCAGCGACAAAGCATAGAATACTAGCGCCCCCACTAGCTTCGAGCCTTAAGCCTCCAATCCATCCACCGCCGGAGAGAGACCGGACCCAGCGCCTCCAAGCGAGGAGGAGGAGGTTTAGGGCGAGCCGGCGCGCATGGCGGCGGCGGCGGGCAATGTGGAGTTCATCCGCGCGCGCAGCGACAAGCGGGAGTACCGCCGCCTGCTGCTCCCCAACGCGCTCGAGTGCCTCCTCATCAGCGACGCCGACACCGACAAGGTCCGCCCCGGCCCGCTCTCTCTCGCTCGCCGAAGCGGCGAATGAATGCTCGCCAGTTGGTCGACGTTTTTCCTCGCGTGATTCATCCGGCGTTGTTGTTGTTGTTTGTGCGCAGGCGGCGGCGTGTATGGAGGTCGGCGTGGGCTCGTTCAGCGACCCGGAGGGGCTCGAGGGCCTCGCGCACTTCCTCGGTGAGTCCACTCGCTTCCCTTCCCTCTCCGTCCACTCTCGTCGCCGTCGCCGGCCATCTCGCTCGCCACACCGTGGCTCCGATTCCGGTTCGTTGCGTGGGCGCTCGTGATCTAACTAACCGAAACACCGGATTCCTGGGGCGAGTACTACTACTTTACTTTCTGACCAGGTAGTAGTTGGTTGGATTGGATGGGGGCTGTTCGCTGGACCCAGCGCAGTGCTCCTGCGCAACGGCGTCGGCGTCAGATGAATCTCCTCCCCCTTTTGGGATCCGGCTGGGGTCTCCTCCAAATTTTGTCTCCATGGAATCGAGTGACGGAGGAATGCTTCCTTGGCCACTTCTCCCCCATTGGGCAGTGCCTTGCCGCTTTAGGCCTTCCTACCGCCAATGATGGCGTCGCAGATTTGCGGCCAGGTCAATGGATGTTTTTTCCTTTTCCGATCGAAAAGTTGATTGAATGAATCGGCCCATTGATTTGGTCCAGTCAGTGTCGCCCGGCGTGTTTTCACCGTCGGATCACGCCATTGACTGACGGTTCGGACTAAAGTTCAGAGCATCCATGATTGATCTCAGTGATGCGGGCATCGGGCCGTACATGTTCTGCCTTCGCCGGTAGCAGCAAGTACGAGTGTACGACAGCCGGCTAGCTGAATGTCTTTCTTAAATGCTTCTCAGGTTTCCAGCCAAATTATATTTGGTGATGTCAGTACTATGTGATGGGCATAATTATGCGTTTGTTGAACGATCCAAGAGTTTCATGCGAGACACGAGTTTGGTTGGGCGGGGTCCATCGCTCCAGGATATGGGACCCTGTCGCTCTCTAGATCACTGCACATACACGTTGTTGCCTAACAGGATGCTCTCACTCCACGAGTCCGTGTTGATATTTTGTCTGGCGTCTGCGTTCTACCCGTGGTAACAACACAGGATATTTCTACTCGATGCACGCGCAGAGCAGTACACGTGTGGGGTTCATTTCAGAAAACCCACATGAACGCAAATTGATGGAGAGAGTGGGTAATACTTGCTTCACTAGTTTAAAATAAATGTTTGACAGAGTTTAAGCACATCTAGATGTGCCATAAGTATTGCACTCTAAGTCCTATGTCATTGATCTTACGTCGAGATTCATGTGGATATTTTCTTTTCCTCTTATACTTGATTCACTCACTTAGATGTGCAATAACTAGAGCACATCTAGATGTGCCCTAGACACACCCAGTAAGTATAGAGTAGTAAACCATTTGTGTGGAGGAGACAATTAGCATGATGAATGTTGGTTGCATCAAATCAAAGTTGATTTTCTCTTTAGCAATTTTTTCTCTTTATTTATTTATTACCATGGGCTTGCTTGCAGAGCATATGCTGTTTTATGCCAGCGAGAAATACCCTGGAGAACAAGATTATACAAAATATATCTCGGAGGTACCGCTTTTCATTTCATCATACGTTTGCTTGCAATTATTACTCACGCGTTAATGCCAGGTTTGTAAGAGTTTGAACCAGGTTTACCGTCCCTGCAGAGCATATACATTAGATGATTCTGGGCCAATCAGAAAATAAGTCATGAGATAGAGAACAACTGAAAGGAATATGCATCTTAGACTATGATAGGTGCCACTGTGCCAATGACTTATGGCTGATACCACATACCAGTGCTTGGCAATAAACATTGTGCAAGCAAATTTATGCTTGTACCATAGCTCACCTCCTATTCCATCGTGATGACCAAATGATACCTTCTTGCCATAAACTGTGGTTATGCCTAAGGCCCAGTTGTAACCTGTCGCACTCTCAAACCAAACACACCTAATTCTGAAGGCTGAGGGTCTGTTTGGATGGCAGCCGAGCGCTGCCATGCCAATATTTTGGCGTTGACCACCAGTCTAGGAGGGCGTTTGGATTGGTGCCAGCGCTTTCTTACCCTGCCAATTCTTTGGTCGCTAGTACACCTCCTCTTTACTTTTTGCGCCCATGCTTTGGCTTGGCAGCGGCGGCAGAATCGTACGCCAAAAAATTGGCACGCCCTTGATTTGGCAGGGCAGTCCTGGGCGCTAACCAAACAGCCCCTGAAGCTTAAGTGCATCCTCTTGCCAGTTGCCAATATGCTATGGTGTTGTGGTGCCAATACATGGCGTGATGAATGCTGTTCATAGAAGTATCACTAATATCCCAACTAGCAACAACTTTGTTGTCCTATCACAAGCTTGTAAAATGGTCTATGATTTTACTTCTGGGACCCGTCAATATGATTATTTCATACCAGCTTAAATATTCTGTTTCATGCTTGGAAGTTACATTCAGTGTACTTGGATTATATGTTTTTTGAGTATTTGGCATGTCGTGAAAAATATCAGCACGGCGGTTCTTCCAATGCCTTTACATCCTCCGAGACAACGAATTTCTATTTTGATGTTAACGCGGACAATTTCGAAGAAGCCTTAGATAGGTAACTTTCTTAGTAGTATTTTGTTCAGTTAATGCATGCACATTGAATCAGGTCGTGATTTCTGTTCTGCAAATTTGCATGATTCTTTATAAAACAATAAATAAGTAGGTGATTTGTGTTGCGCAGATTTGCCCAGTTCTTCATTAAGCCACTGATGTCGCAGGATGCTGTTCTTAGAGAGATCAAGGCTGTTGATTCTGGTGAGCAGTTGCTTTATACATTCTAGTACTATTTGCATCTAACATAACTTTTAGCTTATCACAATTACTTTATGTTTACGTTTTATTTGGATTTTGGAGTAGTAAGAACTAAGAAACACATTGTGGATAATGTTATATTTCACTGTTCTCACAGAACACAAGAAAAATCTGTTGTCAGATGGCTGGAGAATGCATCAGGTACTTCAGAGTCTCAACCTTCTTAGTTAGATACATGTGATATCCTTTCGTGCAATAATGTCATATCTGCATCAGAAACTGAAATTGCTGAAGTAAAGGCGTTATGAATATTTGTTCTTTCCATACAATCATATTTGGCATGATATAAGCCCGGCTTACACTGACTTACTCAGAATGCCAGTTTTCTTTCAAATTAACCATATTTGGCATGATCTTAGCCTGATTTATCATCATCCTGTATATCCCGTTAGCCCTGCTGCACTGTTAGTCTGTTACTTCATTTTAGAGTATTTTTTTTCACAGCTTCAAAAGCATCTGGCCTCAAAGGATCATCCTTACCATAAATTCAGTACGGGTAAGCAATTGTTGGTATTCAGACATTGCTAATACTCATCCAGCTAATTATGGTTGTTGTTTTGTATTACTGTATAAGTGAGTATGCAAATCAATTTGACGTCCGAGTATTCCTGTGTTCCAACCCTTAATATGTTTCTACCAGATTCAGAGATCACACTTTTTTAATTCACATACAAATGCTAACAAAAATCATGTATATTTTTTTCAAAATCTTGTTGTGCATGCCTAATATACAATCTCCTTCCGGAATTTGCATCTTATTTGAAATTATGTTATTTAATGCATCAGGAAGTTGGGAAACACTGGAAACTAAACCAAAAGAGAGGGGTTTGGATATCAGGCTTGAGCTTCTCAAGTTTTACGAGAATTATTCAGCAAATCTTATGCATCTTGTTGTTTATGGAAAAGGTAAGTAGTAAAGGTTCATCAATTTTGGCATACTTGAACTTATTTGTTACTGATAAAATGATTTGTAGAGAGTCTCGATTGCATTCAAAGCTTAGTTGAAAGCCTGTTTAGTCACGTCAAGAACACAGACCAGATAAGCTTCAAATGTCCAAGTCAGCCCCTTTCAGCAGAACATTTACAGGTAACTTGAAACAACACCAGTCACACTAAAAGTAAATACAGGAATGGCAATGGATATGTAATTTCGCATACTTTCTTCTGTCCTTGTCACGCAGCTTCTTGTCAAAGCAATCCCAATAATAGAAGGCAACTACCTAAAAATATCATGGCCAGTTACACCTAACATCCAGTTCTACAAAGAAGGTCCTTGCCGTTATCTCAGTCATCTTATTGGGCATGAAGGCGAGGGATCCATCTTCCACATTATAAAGGAATTAGGCAAGTTAACTTCAGCAGTATATTGTTGTAAATATTCTTTTGCCAGCTTATGTACTCAAACACTGGTCATTCTTTTGTTTCTTTTGTCAACTTGTGTGACCTGCGACAGTTCTATTTTGACTACATCAGGATGGGCCATGGATTTGGTGGCTGGTGCCGGCAGTGACAGCAATGAATACTCTTTTTTCTCAGTAGGCATGAGGCTCACTGATGCTGGTCATGGTAAGATCTCATCTTCATTATGCTCTCTTATAACTTTTTTTTTAAGTTTTAAGCACACCTTGATAGTACAATTTAGTAAGCTATGTGCATATCCAACGATTTCAGACCACATGGAGGATATTATTGGGTTGGTCTTCAAATACCTCCACCTATTAAAAGAAGATGGAATCCATGAATGGATATTTGATGAGGTAACTGACAGACACATCGTTTAATCATGTATGTAGTTATTTGATGATTTATGCTCCTAATGCGCAGTTACTTTGAATATGAACATTGCACCCATGGACTCTGATGTGTTCTTTTAATAAAACGATCTCATTGAGTTTAAATTTTGTTACCCAAGGTTGTTTGCTGAAGCAATTCATAGTTCAAAATTTTACAACTCACAAGCAGAGTGAGGAGAAACTATGATTACATTTAATTACATAAATATACATGCTAATGTGTTCGTTGTTTTCTAGCTTGCGTCAATAAATGAAACAGAATTCCACTATCAAGACAAAGTCCATCCAATCAGCTATGTCACAGCTACTGTCTCAAGCATGCGGGTATGTTTCTGTAGAGCTCTAATTTTTCAGCTTTTACAGTTCCTTGTGATCAATAATTTGTGAACTCTGATGTATATCTCTTTGTACTTCAGTAGTATCTTTTTTCTTCTAACGGATATGCTTATGAACTGACTTGCAGTTGTTCCCACCAGAGGAATGGCTGGTTGGAGAATCATTGCCGTCAAAGTATGCGCCAAATAGAATAAATATGATACTTGATGAATTGTCACCCGAAAGAGTTAGGTAAGCATCCACCGTTCACATGACAACCTTGATTGTTCCTGCTTCTATATGCATATTCTGTCTGTTTGCCAACATATGAATGTATATGCAGAAGTCTGCCATTGCTTAATTAGTACAACCTCTGTAACTTAATATACTGCAAAAACGTCTTACATTAAGTTACAGAGGGAGGAACTGATACTGGGACTCATCAATAAAGAATTATCACTGGCCATGGCCTTACTTCATATCTTGAACTTCAATTTTACTGATATAAGCTTGTGTCAAATGATCTGCGGTTATGCACATAAACTAGCATACAATGCGAAATATCATGCCTTCATTCTTTCTTTGATGCAATACTTCTCTATGTCTGTAGAATACTCTGTGAATCTAAAAAGTTTGAAGGATCTACCAATCGTGCTGAGCCTTGGTACAATACATCATATTCTATTGAAAATGTCACTCCATACATGATAAAGGTTTGCACCCCCACCCTTACCTACACGCGCACCAGCAATATCATGTTCCAATTATTATTTTCTCATCTTATGCCTCTATGTGGCAGCAATGGATTCAAAAAGCTCCTACTGAGAAGCTTTATCTCCCAAAGCCAAACATTTTCGTTCCAAAGGATTTATCTCTTAAAGAAGTGCCAGACAAGGTAAAATTTGGAACGGCTTGTTTGTTGTGTGTTCACATTAGCACACTTTGTATGAATTATCAAAATTTATATATACTCACAAAGTATATATACTTTATCAAACATAGTATATTAATTTTGACAAAAGTAGAACTGTTTCACCAGGTTACATTTCCGACAATATTAAGGAAGACGCCACTTTCACGGCTGTGGTATAAGCCCGACATGCTGTTCTTCACTCCGAAGGTTTACATTATAATTGATTTCCACTGCCCATTGTCAAGCCACTCCCCCGAAGCAGCCGTATCTACAAGTCTCTTTGTCGATTTGTTAGTCGATTACTTGAATGCTTATGGTAAGCAACAATTCTGAAATTATCTGAATAATTGCATATTTTACCATATTGAACAGACTGTCTGGGGATTGTTCCCTCCAACTTTATGTACTAATGTACACTGACAATTAGTTTCTGCCTTTTGTAGCTTATGATGCTCAAATTGCGGGTTTATTCTATTCGATATATCTTACTTCCACTGGATTCCAGGTTTAGTTCTGTTGCTGCATTCTTTCTGTTTCCTATGAGTGTTCCGGACAGCTAAATTGCTCTTCGTGCATTACGATGTTGCTGGTTTTTACCCAGTTTTGAATTCGAACTCAAACAATACCCGATTTTTTGTTGTTTTGAAGGTGTGCGTAGGTGGTTACAATGACAAGATGAGAGTTCTGCTACATGCCATAATGAAGCAAATAGTGAACTTTGTAGTTAAACCAAACAGGTTTTCTGCCCTGAAGGTCAGATGTGGATTCTTAGTTTTCCTTGTCAACTGTCATAATTTCGCTCGGACACATTTGTATTACCTAGTGTCTTCTTCATCAACTTGTGTGGATCAACTTAAAAGGCGTTAATTTTTCTTTCACTGAACACTGTTTATCCTGTGGATTGCAACTGGTAGATGATCAAAACTGAGGTATTTCAGATTTTAAGTTGTGGACACGATATTGCTAGAACCAAATTCATAAAGGGTTCCTGAACACTCTGCATACATAATTATGATTCATTATTTTGCATCTTTTGTAACATAGTACTTCTGTGAAATTTATAGCAACCTTCTTTAAATATGAATAACAAAGGTTTTGGAGACTTCATATTCATTTACACAAGCACATCAATTTAGACACTATATAGAAAATTAATAATTTCTTAAGATCCATTGCAGCAGATTTGTGGTGAGGGTGTTACAACACAGTACTTATTTTTAGTTGCAGTTATAGTACGGAATCTCACCATTGTTGATTTTTAGACTGGGAATATTATTTCCCTTCAGATTCTTAGCGGTGCTTTTTGAAGCCGTGACTTTCTTTCATGCCTACTTTTTTTACCAACATCTTGCTACTACAGGAAACTTCTGTCAAGGATTACCAAAATTTTAACTTCAGCCAACCATACTCTCAAGCTTCGTATTATCTCTCATTAATATTGGAAGAGAAAAAATGGCCTTTGGCAGAGAAACTTCAAGCTCTTTCTAAGCTTGAGTCAGATTCTCTTGCGAAGTTTGTGCCGCACTTGCTATCGAAGACGTACTTGGAATGCTATGTTCAAGGTTTGGTAAACTTCCATGTTAATACTCTACTAAATGTTACCCCGCAAAAAAAAAATACTCTACTAAATGTTAAGGACAGGACTGAAATGCAATTCTGACTGTGCTTAATAATAATTAAGAACTCTTCTTGTAGGAAACATTGAGCCAGGTGAGGCTGAGTCTATTGTCCAGGAGATCGAAGATACTATATTTAATACCCCCAATTCTGTATTCAAACCCATGTCTCCATCACAATACCTGGTCAAGAGGGTTATCATGCTTGAAAAAGAGATAAAATGTTGCTACCAAATTGAGGGATTAAATCAGAAGAATGAGAATTCATCGGTTGTCCAATATATTCAGGTATAGGCTTCTTCTAAACTTAAGCAGTTCATGTTATCGAAGACGATTACTCGTTGGTGATCAGTACCTTCTGATATTTGTAGCCAAACTAATGGCTAGTCATCAATTGGTGAGCCTGTTCCCAGATAATTACTGGTTATGATCAATCCAGTAGTAGTTTTTTTTTAGGTAAAAACCCAGTAGTAGTTGGAACAATGTGGAGGGGACTATGGCTGCTCACCACTCAATTGCGGCAACTCAAAACAATTGGAGAGTGCTACTTTTCCCTACTTGAACATTGTTCTGAAATGTTTTCTTACATGCAAAATATAACGCCAAGAACTCCAAATTAAACATAATAAAAGTGGCCAAGAATAGTGCAAAACTAATCAAATATATAACTAATAACTGGCTCCTGGTCGGCTCACGAAGTATATTCCATGTCGGGGCATGACCGCATACTCAGTTGCACTACATGATTGAAACATCTCAGCCTTGAGTCACTAACCCGAGGCATGACTTGAACATGCATAAGAGGCATGTTCATAGGCGACAGATAATTAGTGCTACATTATTTTTGACCTGTCTGTGAGGAGAGCAATGGCATGCTTGAACCACTAAGTGAGGCCCTGCTGATTCAATAACATGTCGAATCGATAAAATACAGTGATGCGACTGAGTGTGACATGACGAGGTATATAAAACATGGTGACGGTTTTGCTCTGTTAACTTCCTTTAAGAAATATTTTTCTACAGGGAGTTTTTATTTCTTTTTTGAAAAGAGGAGGCCCCGGTCTTTGCATCACCATGATGCACACAGCCAAATTTGTTAGAAGTGGTTCAAGTAGTTCAAAGTACTAAAATACAAAGTGAGAATTGTTCTACAGGGAGTTGCGTAATATCCTAAGAAGTAGAAGAACTGTCTCATGTCAAATGCGTTCTATAACAAGCAGCATGCCAGGTTACTAATATAAGCGTATTCAATGTATCCAGGTCCATCAGGACGACGCCCTCTCAAATATCAAACTCGAGTTGTTCTCTCTAATTTCTAGTCAGCCTGCTTTCAACCAGCTGCGGACTGTTGAGCAACTTGGGTATATAACATATCTTTCTCTGAGGTACGTCCTTTCAAGAGAAACATACACATTTTGTTTGCACTGTTCATTTATAATCCCAACTTACTTTGATCCCTCAGATCTGATCGTGGAGTCTGGGCACTCGAGGTTGTTATTCAATCCACAGTGAAGGTACATGTTGAAAGATTGAGTAACAAATATGACATACTTTTTTGCCACTTTCTCCTACTGACCTTTTTACGGAATCCTAGGATCCTTCATATCTTGATTCTAGAATTGATGAATTCTTTAAGACATTCGAAAGCAAAATCCATGAACTGTCCGACAAGGATTTCAAGGTTAGTGGCTTCAGTTGGCTTCAGAACTAATTGATGTACCATGCCAAATTGCGCATCTCTTTCATAAGTACCCAATTACTCATGATATGATCTGTTCCACATATTGGACTACATTAGCCCATTAGTGTCTTCTTTGTCAAAAGACAAAAGGTTTTGGCATTAACGAAGCATTTTGACATTGCCGTGTTTTGCTTATGGCAGAGAAATGTCAAATCACTTATTGATTCGAAACTGGAGAAATTTAAAAACTTGTGGGAGGAATCTGGCTTCTACTGGGGAGAGATTGAAGCCGGAACTCTCAAGTTTGATAGGGTCGAGTCCGAGGTAAGTGCTTTTGTTCGGGCAACAATACACGCTGTGATATATGAGAGAAAACTGCATGAAACAAAAAGCAAGCCGGAAAAGTGGGCCAAAACTAGTGCAATTTTCAAAAGTTCTGTTTCGAGAAAACACATCACTCTTTTTACCACAGGAAAAAAGGCTGTGTCCTGGATCCGCAAGATATATGACCTCGAAAACCGTTTGCAGGTTGCTCTCCTAAGAGAGCTCAAGAAAGAAGAATTCATCGAATACTTTGATGAGTACATAAAGGTGGACGCCCCTCAAAGGAGGACAGTAAGCGTGCAGGTCTTCAGCGGCAACCATTCGGCAGAGTTCAAGAAGGCGATCGCCGAGGCTGATCCGCCCAAAACTTGCCGGATTACCGACATATTCGGCTTCAAGCGATCACGGCCTCTGCACCGCTCGCTGAAGGGAGGTCCAGGCCTGATCACAATGGACTGACATACTACATGTTCTTTGTTTGCTGTAGTGTAGTACATAGTCTGTCACCACACGCATGAACCCAATTTTGATTGATTTCTCGATGGCCACCCACGATTGCACAATGCTATTCTGCATGTATGGAGTAACCATGTGATGCTATTTTCAGAACAAATGTACCAACTTATAGAAATTAAACATGCATTGCTACTTTGTCTGCATCTACTTCTTCTGACAAGTATGTACATTCACATGAGCTGACGATCACAGCGGGGCGGACAAGATGGCGCCATGGGCCGAGAACACGTACACATTGCGGGCGGCACGTGCCCGGCGTAGGTGTCACCACCCTCGCACGCGTCACCGGCCGCCTCGGCTACGGCACGGCCCCGATCGCCGCCGCCCTCCCGCGGCCGCTGCCCCACGCGTAGCTGGCGCGGTGCCAGCGGCACCGGAACGAGCCCCGGTGCGCCGTGGGCGAGCACACGCAGTAGTGGTGCTGGTGCGCCTGTCGCTGCGGCGAAGGCGTGGGCGTGGGCGCGACGACCCCCGCCGGCCGCGGCCGCCGCCTGGCCGCGCAGCCCGGCGGCAGAGGCGGCAGCCCCGGGTGGCACATGCTCTGGACAAGGCCTGGCGACCCGCTAAAGCTGCAGAGAGGGCTCTGTCCACCCGGCCACACGCATAAAAGGGCGACGGAATGGAATCGGGTTCTGGTGTTTCCCGGGATGTGCCGGCGGTGGAGAAATGGAGATAGAGGGGGGAAAGCGAGGAATATTTGTGGGCGCGCGGGCCACTAGGCTGGTTGCCGTGGCGGCCGCTGGTTTCGTGAGGTGGTGGGCGGGGAGGCGGGGGAAAGGGAGGGGGCGCGGCCGCGTGGCGGGGAGTGCACTGTGGAGCGCGGGGCGTGGCGAGCGCGCGGGGAGATCGCGTGGAGAGGAGCGCAATGGCGCGACATCCTGGTTTTGCCTAGTGTAGTGTGTGATGGAATGGAATGTCTAGTCGTGATCCACTCCGGGAGCCGGGAGGGGACGGTGATTGATGGTTCCTTGCGGTGCACTTCTTTCGGCTCGACGGGGAACTGGAGTGCGCGCCCGGTCAGGTCAGGACAAAAGCCGGTAGCATATCGACCTTTCCATCCTCTCGTCTCGTGGCTTCTTTGCGGCGGCCTTTTCTTATCCTCTTGGACCCATCCGACCGACATGGTAATACCTGAACGCCAACGGATTGTTTGGCCCATACGTTTGGCATCTACCGGCGCTACGTGTCTGTTACTACTCCGTATCAGCGTGTTTCTATCCTTTTACTCCGCAAAGAAGTGAAGTGCACCATAAGCCCATAAACTATTTCAAGGGTGACAAAGGGGGGATCCTCTGTGATCTTGCCCCCGCCTGGGTTTCGCTAGGGTTATTGAGGGAGAGTGCTAGGGTTTGTGAAGAACGTCCAGATCAGAAAGAAGATGGCGGCCGAATCGAGTACGCAGGGGCGGCAGGCAAGGGAGTCGCCGGAAGAGTTACTTGCACGGCTTAATCTGCAGGAAGAGGAGGATGATGCTTTTGTTTGGGAGGAGGAACTGCCGGACCTGGGAGCCCCGGCGAAGTGGCTGGCCATTGCCAGAGTACACACCCTGAAGAATTTCAGCCCTAATGCTCTGTACGGGGACAATGCGGGCGGCATGGAATCCGGCTAAGCCTGTAGTGTGAGGAAGATCAAAGATAACCTATTTACTGCTCAATTTGGATGTTTGGGTGATTGGAACAAGGCCATGTTGGAGGGCCCGTGGCTGTTTAGAGATCATGCTGTAATCATGGATGAGTACGATGGTTTTAAAAATCCTGATAGCTTTAAGTTGGACAAGATGGTAGTATGGGCACAGATCCATCGGCTTCCCGATAATTTCCTGATTGAACCGGCGGTTAGGGGGATGACATCTCGTATCGGGGAGGTAGAGGAAGTCCAGCTAAAGCTCCCAGCAGGTTTCTTTGCTGAATTTGTCAGAGTGAGGGTGAAGATAGATATATATATATGCTAAGATCAAGAGGTTCGTGACTGGAAGGGAGAAGAGATGGTTAGATACCAAGTAAAATATGAAAAGCTGCCAGTTTTCTGTTTCCATTGTGGTGAATTTGGGCATTGGCATGAGGAGTGCAGTGATGGAGTTCATGATGAGTCCAAGTTTGAATGGGGAGAATTTGTTCTAGCCAATACTGTGCGCTTCAGACAAGAAGGGAGAAGTAGCTATGGATCCCAGAGGGGCCAGGGTGGCCCGAGGAATGCAAGAGGTAGAGGAAGAGGGAGGGCACCCTTCAATCCCAATCAAGCATGGCGTTTTCAATGCGCAGCATACTGAGCCCGGGCAACAACAGTCACATCAGCAGGAGTTGCAGATGAACTCAACGTCCGGTTTTGGAGGGACAGGACCAAGGGAGCCAAATGTAATAAGGGAAACGCATGATGATGCGACTGGGGAGGCTACGGAGGGGAACACCACAATCTCAAATAAAAGGTAGTCTGCAGAAAATAGTACACCCCATGGGGGTACTGCATCCCCGAGTTTGGGTGATTCAGTTATGGTGGATAGCGGCTCCTCGACGCTTGTTATAAGGGAGAAACCTACGGGGATTCCACCGCTGCCCCCGGTCTATGTATCGCCGATGAAGGAGGTAAAGAGGCCAAAGAAGCGATACGACAAGAGAGAGATAGCTTGTTCTGTGACGAACATACTGTCATAGGGAATGAAGACAAGGAAGCAAATGGTGGAGGAGAAACTACTAAGGAAGATGCAAGATCGGTGGGCTCCCCCGAGGAGTGCCGCCGGGCACAATGAGTTTATTATGTTGGAACTATCGTGGTGTGGGTAATCCCGCGACAGTTCACGAACTTCGCGAGCTCGCAAAGAAATTTATCCCGGCCGTATTATGCATTGTCGAAACTCAAATTGATAAAATACATGTCGAGAAGCTGAAGGGAGAACAAGGTTATGATAGTAGCTATGTTGTGAGTAGTGATGGGAGAAGTGGAGGTCTAGGTTTATTCTGGAATGATGAAATAAAACAGAAAGGTTCTGGTTATTCTAAGTATCATATTGATGCGATGATCGATAATTTAGGCCCTAGCGCCTGGAGACTTACGTGCGTTTATGGTGAAGCTCAGGTACCCGAGCGGTATAAAACGTGGGATACTCTCCGTGACCTCGCTGGGAGCATCCACTCCCCATGGGTGGTAATGGGAGACTTCAATGAGGTATTGCATTTGAGAGAGCATGATGGAGTAGGGCAGAGAAGCTAAGGACAAATTGATGCTTTCAGGAGTGTGGTGAATGATTGTGCCCTTGTTGACGTGGGTTACACTGGTCCGAGCTGGGCTTTCGAGAAGAAGGTAGCGGGAGGGACATACATGCGAGTGCGTCTGGATAGGTTCCTGGCCTGCTCTTCATGGGCGTCCTTATTCCCTCAGGCGACAGTGAGACACTTAACAGCGGTGACCTCTGACCATCTACCAATAATGATGGATCTGGTTGTGGCTAATGAGCCAAGGGTGGCTAAGTGTTTCCGATATGAATCAATGTGGGAGTTTGAACCACCGTTGCATTCCAAAGTGGCTGAGGCATGGGACCTGGGAGATTCAAGCACGATGACTGAAATAGCCGAGAGTCTGAAGAATTTATCAGTTTCGCTGTCTTCATGGCATAGGAAAACCTTCGGGAATGTTAAGCGGAGCATCAGAAAGCTTAAACGGGAACTTGAGATTCTGCGGGATGTACCTGGACGAGTGGGTCCCTCGCCTAGAGAGGTTGAGATTAAAACGGAGTTCGTGGAACTATATAAAAGGGAAGAGTTAATGTGGAAGCAAAGGGCACGAGTTGAATGGCTACGTGTAGGAGACAAAAACACTATTTTCAGCTTCGGGCAAATGTGCGCAGGGTGAAGAATATGATTAAGAGTCTGATGAGGGAGAATGGGACCTTAACAGACGATAAGGAGGAGATGAAGGATATGACAAATTCCTTCTATACCAACCTGTACACATCGGAAGGGACTAATAACATGGAGAGTGTTCTGGATACAGTACCTTGCAAGGTAACACCACAGATGAACAGTATGCTCAATGCAACATACACAACAACAAAGGTTAAAACAAATTTATTTCAGATGTCTCCGCTAAAGGCCCCTGGGCCAGACGGCTTTCCAGCCCAATTCTTCCAAAAGCATTGGGACATTTGCGGTGAGGCAGTAACAAAGGTGGTAATAAGCATTGTTGAAGGTAAAGAGAGTGCTCATGAGCTGAACAATACGATTCTGGTCCTAATACCAAAGGTTAAAAGTCCAAGTTTATTATCTCAATTTCGTCCTATAAGCCTTTGCAATGTGTTATATAAAATAGCTTTCAAAGGTCATATCTAACCGTTTGAAAAGTATACTTCCAGAGATCACATCTGAGGAGCAGTCTGCTTTTTGAAGGAAATATGCCCTAGGCAATAATAAAGTTATTATTTATTTCCTTATTTCATGATAAATGTTTATTATTCATGCTAGAATTGTATTAACTGGAAATATAATACATGTGTGAATACATAGACAAACATAGTGTCACTAGTATGCCTCTACTTGACTAGCTCGTTAATCAAAGATGGTTAAATTTCCTAACCATAGACATGAGTTGTCATTTGATTAACGGGATCACATCATTAGGAGAATGATGTGATTGACTTGACACATTCCGTTAGCTTAGCACTTGATCGTTTAGTATGTTGCTATTGCTTTCTTCATGACTTATACATGTTCCTATGACTATGAGATTATGCAACTCCCGTTTACCGGAGGAACACTTTGTGTGCTACCAAACGTCACAACGTAACTGGGTAATTATAAAGGTGCTCTACAGGTGTCTCCGAAGGTACTTGTTGGGTTGGCGTATTTCGAGATTAGGATTTGTCACTCCGATTGTCAAAGAGGTATCTCTGGGCCCACTCGGTAATGCACATCACTATAAGCCTTGCAAGCATTGTAACTAATGAGTTAGTT